TGAGGCAGGCACAACAGCCAAATCTTTGGCCCTGTATTATAATTTTATTTTAAAATTTTATTTATTTATTTTTTGGTACCGGTCATCGAACTTGGGACCTTGCGGTTGTGAGGCAGGTGACAATACCACTGAGCTAAATCCCCAGCCCACCTGTATTATAATTTTAAAGACACAGTTTTAATATTTTAAATCCAGAGTCCTGACACTTTTTTTTCTTTGATCCAGTATCCCATCTGGTACCCCTTACTTACTTTTAATTACCAAAGTATCTATGTGAGGAGACTTTGAGGGTCTTAGATTTAACAGAGTCATTGATTCTGGGAACCTTTTAGAAGTGAATTATGTCAGCTGAGCCAACATTACTTCAGGAGAAAACAACTTTAGTTTTCATGTCTTGAGATGCAAATGTTTATTCTTTTAAAGACCAGAATCTTATCTTCAAAATATTAGTGTCATATTTATATTGTCACAAAGAATCTGGAAACTTTAAAATAGAGATGAATACTAATTTAATAATCACTAATATTCCAACATGCACCTTATTTTCTGTTACAATATTGTATTTCCTTTTTTACTCTTCTTAATCTCTTTAAAAGGAAAAATTGGGAAAAAGGGAAATACAGGTTAATAAAATCAGTCTGATTTATATTTTACAGTTCAAAGTAATGAGGTAAAAGGATTTAAGTGTTTTAATTTTCTTGATATAGGTTTTACTGTGTTGCCCAGTCTGGTCTAGAATTCTTGGACTCAGTGATGATGTCACCTCAACCCCCTACATATTAACAATACAGGTGTGCACCATCTAGCCTTGCTTATGTGGTTTTTAAAATTGTTTTTTCTCTCCTCTTTATAAATGTTGAACTCTGAGGAGGGAAAGAGGAAAGAGATCAAGGTAAAAGTTGAGAGAGAAAGTAAGGTTATGATAATGGAAGATGAGATAAAATTGTGTATTTTTGTGTATGATATACTTCACTTTCTGTGTATTCATTATATAAAAAGTTCAGAAATGACTTGTTATGGCTGGTATTGAGCGTAAGTGTGGGTTTGTGGACCCCAAATCTTGATTTGTTGTCCCTGTCTTTGAACATCTTGGTTCGGGAGAGAGTGAAGAGGGAGATAATTCGTGCATTCCTGCAGTGCAGTTGGGAGACTGACATGATACAGTACAGGACTAAGACAGTTTTAAGAAATGGATAGTGTCTAGGAAACATTGGCTTAAATGGTGGAGAACCTTTGTGCTCTCTGAGAATAAAAGAACAAAATTGCATTAGCACAGGGAAATGAAGTTGAGGTTGAAAAATAACAGCACATACTCACTAGAACTCTAGCGGCGGAGAAGTGATAGCTCAGGAAAGACTGAAATTGGTAGCTGGGCCAAAACACATTTTCTATTTATGATTACAAATCGTATTTCACTACTGGCAGCTCTTTGAATTGATTGTGCGGAGACTGCTTAACCACACAATACATACGCTCTTCTTTTTGTAGGCGGCACTCCCCCTATCGCACACTGGAGCCAGTGCGTCCTCCAGTGGTACCAAATGATTACGTACCTAGCCCAACCCGTAATATGGCTCCCTCGCAGCAGAGCCCTGTGAGGACAGCTTCTGTGAATCAAAGAAATCGAACTTACAGGTATTTTCTCTAACTCAGTGCAAAATGTGATGGTCACAGTACCATAATCGGTTCAGATCACTTCAGTGAAACTTCCCATCTGCCAAGTGCTTAGTCTCAGTTCTTTTCCTCACTGTGCTCTCCCAAACCTCATATGATTCCATCTCTCTCTCTCCTCATTTCTGATGCAACTTTGAGCAGTCAGGATGTTGGAAACGAGCAGACATCTCAAAGTGCAAACATCTATACAAAGATAATAGTTCATTTGATCTGGGAAAAAAAAAATGGGCCAGTTGTGGCAAATTTCAAGTTGTTTTTTGGTGGAACTTTACAGATGAAAAACTATACATAACAAAACACTAGTATGAGATAGTATAACAAGATATTACAAATGTTAAAGATGTTAAAACAAGCTTAATAAACTCAGCCTTTCCCCTAATTTTATTACAGCATTGATATTTGAAGTGGAAGGCTTTTTGAATTATCTTTTTTATAACTATATTATTTTAGAACATTTTGGGAAATGCTGATGAGATCTTCCTGTATATAAATACTCATATTTTGGTGGCTCTTATTTCTTTAGCAGCAGTGGGAGTAGTGGAGGAAGCCACCCAAGTAGTCGGAGCAGCAGTCGGGAGAACAGTGGAAGTGGGAGTGTGGGGGTTCCTATTGCTGTTCCTACTCCGTCACCTCCCAATGTTTTTCCAGGTAAACATGAATGGTGCTTTCTTTGAGATTTAATTATAGTGTACTTTCTTCTTAATCAGGATTTTTTATATCATTAGGACCTTGTGAATATTGGAAAGTTTTTATATATTTGTTATTTTAACCAAGTACTGTAATTTGTTCTTGCTTTTTGTGTGTTTCTGTTATTTGGCGTTGTTCTCCGATGCTGTGGCTGAGTTGGTGCTCTAAGGTCTCAGGTATTCTGGTATGAGTTAGGTGTTTAACTCCAGCTGGTGTTGTGACAGTGAGTGTCTTTGGACACAAAGGGGTCCTGGTATGAGAATCATCTTGGTAACCAAGGCCAGCATATAGAAAAAAAAGTTTTGGTTTTTTTTTTTTTTGGTACTGGGGATTGAACTCAGGACCTTGCTCTTGCGAGGCAGGCACCAGAACCACTGAGCTAAATCCCCTAGAAAAAAACGTTTTGACAGTTAATATTGGTGGAATGATGGAATTTTTTCTCTTGAACAGAAAAATGTGCTTTTTTTTTTTTTTTTTTTTGGTACCAGGGATTGAACTCGGGACCTTGCGCTTTCGAGGCAGGTGGCAGCACCATTGTAAATCCCCAGCCCCAAAATGTGCTTATTTGATCTGAGGAAACAGTGTTAAAATTTAATTTTAAAACCGCGACTCAAGACATCAGGATAGAATATTACATATTTACTCACCATAGTAACAAGTAGATACTACCTTTTTTTTGTACTGGGGATCGAACTCAGGACCTTGTACTTGTGAGGCAGGTGGCAGAACCTCTGAGCTAAATCCCTGGCCTGATAATACCTTTTAACAAATCATGCAAAAAGATTTGTGGGTTTTTTAAAGTTCTTTTTTACCTGATAGGAGATTATCTGGAATATATATCCTGTTTCCTGATTTGTATAATTCAAATGGAATACTGTTTTGAAAATGTATTATGCTTAATTTTGTATACTATTTGCTGAATGTTATGCTAAAATAACAATATGCAGGGAACACTTTTTTTCAGATTGGTGGCTGTTAGGTAAAAAGGAAAGTCTTGTTTTTTAAATGACTTAAAAAATCTGTACGTTGGCTTGAGCATCTGGAATTACTGTGTGCATACTAATCGCCCTTTACCATAAGCATCATGCTGTTTTCAGCTCTTTCTCTTTTGTTTAGCATTGAGCACTGAATGTCTAACATGAACTCACTCTGATGCCTTTTCTGCCTCTGCCTCACTTGACTGCCCGTTAATGCTGCCTCTTGCCCCTCTTTCCCCTCAGCCCCTGCTGGCTCTGCCGGCACTCCTCCCCTTCCTGCTACTTCTGCATCTGCCCCTTCCCCTCTTGTTCCTGCTACCGTCCCCTCCTCCACTGCCCCAGACGGTGCTGCTGGGGGTGCCCAGACCCTTGCTGATGGCTTCACTTCTCCAGCTCCCCCTGTTTCTTCCAATCCACCTACAGGTGAGTATTGGCTAATGCCTTAGCAGGCAGATCTGGGCATCTGGCTGTTCTCTTACCTGGAACACTAGCTTTACTTTTTTTTTTTTTTTGGTTTTGCTGTACTTTGTATTAAAAAATAGGAGGAATAATACAGTGACTGAAATGGCATGTGACCAAAGATTCAATTTCCTGGGAAAATGAGGGTAAATTTTCTCATAAATTTTTCCAGTAGGGTAGCACAAATACACATTTTAAAAAATTGTTTGCATTTCATTTATTAAAGACTTGTGAATTTAATATGGAGCTACCTTCTGTATGGTTTTGAGAAATTATCATTATAAATGTTACAGGTTAGGTAATTATAACAGTTCTAAGTTACATTTTATAGGAAATATTTTATATAACAATTTGAAAACCTCTGTAAGTCTATTGTAACACAGTCTGTTGCTTATTTTAGCAGTACTGGAAACTGGAAACTCAGACAGTGGACTTCTCAGGTTTATTTGAGTTGACTGGTATTTTAGTTTTTTAAAATTGCAACCTAAAATCTGTTTTGATGGGGCAAACAATAAAGACTCAATTGCTACAAAATACATTGAACAAGGTAGGTGATGTAGCTCAGTGGTTCTCATGCCTGCCTCGCGAGCGCAAGGTCCCAAGTTTGATCCCCGGTATCAAAACAAAAAAACCCTAAAAAACCAAAAAAAAATACATTGAACAGTTAATGTGAAGCTGGTTAGTAAATAGGTTCTTATCTATTATAAAATGTATGTTGTGTGAACACATCACCTTGTGTTTAGCTTGCCAATAAAGTATTTCACAAAATAAATATTCAGTTTTGCTTCCATAGCCAGCTGTTTACATGTTTTAAAAGACACCTAGTTAAATTGGATTTTGCATGGTGTTCTATTGGACTAGCTTCTATAATAGTATTTATAAAGCTTTTTGTAAAGGATAAATGTAAACATTATTCTTTGTTCTAAATATGGTATACCTTGTTAGGCCATACTAGCTAGTTAAATATCAGAATCTTGTTATGTTCTTATATCAGTAAAGAATATGTCTTTATATTGGCTATAGACACAGAAAGGATAGCTTGCCTCCAACTGAGTCAGCATTTTAGTAATCAGATAATAATTTAATAATAAGATTCCTGGCTGATAGTGTTCATCAAATAAATATGTGTTATGTGAGTAAATAATTTTTTGTGAGAAAGTACAGTTTTTTAAAAATAAAGAACAAGGTAAATATCTTAATAATTTAAATCAGTATAATCTCTTTTATACAGTTGCCTCTTTTTTTTGTGGTGCTAGGGATTGAACCCAGGGCCTTCACACTTAGCTACATCCCCAGCCATTTTTCTTTCTTTCTGTTTTTGTTTTTCTTTTGTTTTTTTGAAACAGGATTTCACTATGTCCCTGGGCTGGCCTTGAACTCATGGCAGTCCTCCTGCCTTAACCTCCCAAGTGCTGGTATTACAGGCGTGTGCTACCATACCTTTTGAGACAGGGTCTCACTAAGTTGCTAAGTTGCCCAGGCTGGGGTTGAATTTGTGATCTTCCTGCCTCAGCCTTTCAGAGTTCTGGGATTACAGGTGTGCACCACCATACCTGGTTTTAAAGTTGTCTTTGAATCACCAAGTACTGTTTTCTTTTCTTTTTAGTAAGATATAATTTATGTAAAGTAAAATTTACCTTTTTATGTGTATGTGTTTGACAATTTTGACAAATGCATACAGTCATGTAACCACCACCACAGTCAAGACATAGAATGGTCTCATCATCCCTGTAACATCCTTCATGTCCCCTTCTGATTAGACCTTTGCCGAGCCCCTGGTAACTCCTTGATTGGTTTTTCAAAGTCCCTGAAGTTTTGCATTTGTAAGTGTCATATAAATGCAAGCATGTGCTGTGTATCTTTTTGGGTCTGGTGTTCTGGCCTGATGTGCTGGAGGTGTAGCCATGTTGTTGTGTGTTTATGTATTTTATTCCTTTTTATTTCTGAATACTGGGCGTTTGTATGATGTCCCAGAATCCATCTCTTTGCCACTTGAAGGACATTTGGATTGTCCTTAGTTTTGAGTGCCATAAACTTTCACATACGGGTCTCTGTGCAAATACAGGTTTTATTGCATTTGAGTAAATGCCCGCTAGGATTTTGAGCTTGTAGTATAAGCAAATGTTGAACTTTTACAGAAACTGCCAAATTATTTCCCAAACTGGCTCTGAAAATTTGTGTCTCTGCCAGCAGATGTGAGATTTTTTAGTTTCATCCTTGTCAACAGGTGGTCAGTTTTGTTTCTAGCTTCAGCTGCCTTAGTAGGTATGTGGTAGTTTTTCATACAGCACCATCCCCTTGCTTGTTTTTTTTTGGTAGCTGGGCATTGACCCAGGGTTTTGGCACTGGTGTGCACCCCTACTCCTTTTTATTCTTTTATTTTTGAGACAGGATCTTACTAAGTTGCCCAGGCTGGGCTCATTTGCCATCCTTTTGCTCCAGCTTCCCAGAGAGTTCCTCATCTTTTTCTTAAGTTTTTGTCCCCTTATCAATGAGTTCTTTTATGTTTTGAATTCTTTATCAATGATGTGAGTTGCAAATATTTTCAATTTTGTGGTTCAGTTCATATTCTTCGTGGTGTCTTTAAAATAGCAGGAGCTCTTAATTTTCATTAAATCCAGTTTATCGGTTTTTCTTTTATGGATTGTGATTTTGTGAGAACTTTTACTCAGAGTCATGAATTTTTTATTTGTGTTTTCTTCTACAAGTTTTAAAGGTCAGGTTTTGTAGTTAGGCCTATGATAACTAGCCAGTTTTTTTTTTTTTTTTTTTAACAGTTTGTTTTAAAACCCAAACAGGTCTGGGGATTTAGCTCAGTGACACTGTGCCTGCCTCGCAAGCACAAGGTCCTGAGTTCGATCCCTGGTACTGAAGAAAAAGAAAAGAATTCCTTTTTTTGGGTTTTTTTTGAGGCAGTGTCTCCCTTTGTAGTTCAGGCTGGCCCTGAACTCACTATATAGCCCAGGCTGGCCTCAAGCTCACAGTGATCCTCCTGCCTCAGCCTCCCGAGTGCTGGGATTACAGGCATGCGCCACCACACCCAGCAAAAAAAAGGAATTCTAAAACCCAAACAAGGTAAATTAACAGCATGAATAGTGTTTCTTTCATGCATTGTCTTTGAATCACTGCAGATTTCTAACTTAGATGAGAATTTAGACTGGATCTGTCTATTAAATTCATAACAGTATTAAGCACCAAATGTTTTTAACTTGAAGATCCTAGTTTGTTCTAGATTTAATTATTAAATGCCAATAAGGCATTTCTGTCCAGTGGTTCAGATGGCTAAATGTACATTTTAAATAATAGTTGGTTCATCTGCCTGCCTGCCTTTTAATCAAGGTTACTAAGACTGCTCAGTTGATAGAAGGTTAAGTATAAGCTTGATTAAGTATCAAGCTTATTAGATTAAGTATCCAGCTTTTATGCAGCAGAATTGAGTTGCAGATTTTAATACATACATAAAATGAATATGATGGTAAATTTCGAGTACTGTATTTTTGCCATATTCTTTATATTACTCCTTGTGGATCCAGCTTTTATAAATTTATGAGATTCCTGAAGAGCAGTTTTAGTTATGTAAACCATTCTGTAATCATAGATAAGATGACAGATTCTCAAAAGGGCTTTTTTTTTCATTGCTTCTCTCCCTTTCTTCCTTATTCCTTGCCTTTCCCCTGTAGGTTTCCTCCCTCCTCTTGCCCTCCTCTGCCCTGATCTTCTCTTCCACTTTCTCCCCCCCATCTCTCTTCCCCTCCTCTTTCTCTTGTTTTTCTCTCACTTCTCTGTGCCTGTCTCTTGCTTTCTGAGTGTTCTTTCCTGGGTGTTCTGGAGCTCTGTTTATAACAGGTCCTCAACTGATTAGGGGCTAAATGGGGCCAAGTAAGGGTAAAGCCAAGGTAAAATTTGGAAACTGGCAGGGTATAGTGGCATATCCCTGTAATTCTAGCTGCTAAGGAGGCTGAAGCAGGAGGATCTCAAATTTAAGGCCAGCCTGGGCAATTTGGTGAGACTGTCTCAAAATAACATTTAGGAAAAAATGGCTGGGGAGATGTAGCCCTGTGAGTGGGGGTGGGGGTCAATGCCGAGTGATGAAAAAAAATTAGGAGCTGGATTGTAGTAGAAAATTGTATGGTTCAGGGAAGAGTTTGAAGTTGGCATTAGCTATTGAACTCTTAAGAGCAAAATAGGGTGAAATTGTTGAAGAATATGTACAGGTTCAGGCATGATGTTACAAGTAAAATATGTTTCCATTCACTTTTTAAAATTCACTTTTTTTTTTTTGGTATTGGGGATTGAACTCAGGGCTTGCGCTTGTGAGGCAGGCACTGGAACCACTGAGCTAAATCCCTGGCCCCTCCACTCGCTTTTTATATTGTAGCTTTTTCATAGTTGTAGATTTCATAAATAATTTTAAGACAATAATTTTTGAGGTGGGTGTTTTTGATTGAATAAAGATACATGCTTTTGATTTGGAATTATGTGGTCAGACTTTTTGCTGAAATACTTTGTTTTCCTTTAAAGAAATTTCTTTGCTACCTTAATTGCATTATTTCTGTTATTATTATTTTGAAGTAAGATTGTGTATTAGAGATTTTTCTTTTTCTTTTCTTAGTGTCACTCTTACCATGTTGAGTTTAGTTTCCATTGTTGAGTAGCTACTTTTTTAGAGGGAAGGGATTGTCTTAGTTCATTTTGTGCTGCTATCCTAGAATACTACAGACTAGGTAATTTATAAATAATAGAAATCTGCTTCTGGCTGGACCTGGTGGTGCATACCTGTAATCTGCTGAGGCAGGAGGATCACAAGTTCAACCCCAGCCTGGGCAATTTAGAAATGTAGTGAGACTCTGTTTGTTTGGTTTTTTTTGGTACCAGGGATTGAACTTGGGTCCTTCCGCTTGCAAGGCAGGTGGTGGAACCACTGAGCTAAATCCCCGGCCCATGAGACCCTGTTTTTAAAAAGCAGGGCTGGTGGTATAGCTCAGTGCAAAGGCCCTGGGTTCAATTCTCAGGATGGCAAAAACAAAATAAAGCAAAAGAAAAAGGTATTTCTGTAGGTGGGTGGGAAGTCCAGTAGCAAAGGCCCTGTATCTCTGTATCTGGTGAGGGCCTTTTTGTTGTGTTGTGTGTGGAAGGCATCACAGGGGAAGAGTGTGCACAGAAGAGAAAAAAAAAGGGTGGGCAGGTGGGCGACCTCACCCTCTCATCAGGAACCCACTCTCTTCCTGTGAAGCACAGCATTGTCACTTTGGGGGGGGTACCGGAAATCGAACTCAGGACCTTGTGCTTGCCAGGCAGGTGCAGCCCCACTGAGCTACATCCCTGGCCCTGCACTGTCACTTCTTAAAGATCCCACCTCAACACTGTCAGACTGGGAGCAGCTTTCCAGCAAAAGAGTTTTGGGGGACAGTGAAATCACAGCAAAGGCCCAGAATTTTAATTGTGATGATTTTGGAAATCCCAAAAATGATTGATAAAATCCTAGTGTTAACTAGTAATCTGTTTAGATGTAGCTTTTCCAAACTGTCGTATTTTCATTTACTTCTTGCTTTTTGTTAATTTTTGATATTTATCAGTAGATGTTTGCAGTACACATTGATGACATTCATTGTGGGGAATTGGTACACATATATAACACATCTCAATTCTTTTTTTCCCCTTTCTTCCACCCTCTTTTAGTTTTACTTTTTTGCTTTTGCATTTTGATACAGTGCTAGCTGAGCGATGCTATTCATCTAGTGTTGATTTTCAGATAGTATAATGGGATAAACATTGTTATTTTTAATAATTTTAGTATGATTTGGGCAATAGACATAAATATTTTATTATCTGAGAGCTTTTCTTTTATTTATCCATCTCTTCCAGGCCATCCTGTTCAGTTCTACAGCATGAACAGGCCTGCTGCTCGCCACACGCCCCCAACCATAGGAGGCTCCCTGCCCTATCGACGCCCTCCCTCTATAACATCACAAGCAAGCCTTCAGAACCAGATGAATGGTGGACCTTTTTATAGCCAGAATCCAGGTAAGATTTTCTTTTGCATTTTTGTAATGTGTCTATTTTAAAATCTTCAATTAAACCCTTTAGTTCCAAATAATTGGCACATTGTAGGTGGTGAATGCTATTCTTTGAATGAATGGCAGAGTGAATGAATACTTGATGAATACTTGGTTGCTAATAATGCTGTATCTTTCACCTCTCTTAAAAAAAGATCAATGCATGATTTCCCCATAAAGTTGTAGAAGTTAATTTTTCAGAGCAGAATAGCAGAATCCTTTTGAATGTGTTAGTGGTTACTTGCTTTTAAAAATACTATTTTGGAGTTAGAGGAGTAGCTCTGTGGTGGAACATTAGTCCAAAATGTGCAAAGCACTGGGTTTGAGTCCTAGCACACCTCCTCCAATAAAAAACCCACAGAGATCTGCGGTGAATAATAACTTTTTAATTTAATGATACATCCTGTTCTATGAATTACAGATAATGAAAGTTGGGTGTACATGAAGCTCTTTTGTGTTAGTTATGCTGCCTTACTCAGTTCTTACACCAAGCCTCTGGTGGAAAAACTGGGCCTTGGAGAAATTGACCAAATATAACAATTATAATAACTGCATCATTCATACAGAACAACTAATCTGGCACATATTTAATGTTATACATGTTCATTATTTCGCTTATTTCTTAGAGCAAGAACAAATATTAGACATGGTCCATCAACTTACTGTACTTGTTAGAGTTTTGCCAAGAGGCCATTAAGCCTGTATGTGAGAACCTCTGATATTAGAGGGCAAATCATTTCATCTTTGACTTTTATAGGGCTTAAATTTACCTACTGTGGCTACTACCAGTGAAACCTTAGTTATGTCTTTGGAATCTTGCAAATGAAAGAAATTTGACCTTCTACATAAACATTTACAGTTTAAAGAATGCTTTTGTATTACTTCATTTGATTTTTGTAATTCATGTACACAACAAGATTGGTGATCTTCCTCTGTACAGTACAGTGGTACCTCAGTTCACGAATTTAATTTGTTCTGCAATTCTGGAAAAGATGCCCATGTTCCTGTTAGCGTGGGAAAGATGGCTGCAGTTGTGTTGGTCACCTGATGCAGAGTTTGCAAACAAAAACAAAATTTTGCCAAATGCATCTGTTTGTGAACCAAGTTGTTCTGAAACAAAAGGGTCCGTGAACCAAGGTACCAATGTATTTAGCTTAGGAAACCAAGTCAGGATGATATTTCACCTAAGGGCCAGGGATTTAGCTCAGTGGCACCACACCTGCCTCAGAAGCACAAGGTACTAAGTTTGATCCCCGGTACCAAAAAAAAAGAGAACTATGATATTTCACCTTAGGTTTTTCGACTCTATCATCTCGTGTTTTGGTGGGGGAGTGCAAAAAACATTAAGAGCCTGAGATCTTGTCAAAAATAGTTAATTTTGGGTCGGGGGTTTAGCTCAGTGGTTTCGCCGCCTGCTGCGCTAGTGCAAGGACCTGAGCTCGATCCCCGGTACCAAAAAAAAAAAGTTAATTTTATTTTATTGTTTGAAGCAAAATTGTTATTGAAGCAAGACCTTTATGGGTATATTTTATTTTATTTTTTAAAAAAGTAATTTTTCTGGTACTGGGGATCAAACTCAGGACCTTGTGCTTGCGAGGCAGGTGTGGTGCCACTGAACTAAATTCCCTGCGTTATGGGTATATTTTAGATATACATAGTGGTAACATTCATCATAGGGAATTTGTACCTATACATAATATATCTTGCTTCTTTTTTTCCCCATTCCCCCTTCCACCGCTCTCCTCTCCTTATTTACAAAATCTTGGTTTCCATTTTCTATTCCCTTTTTTTCCTTGTCCCTTCTTTCCTTTCCCCCTCCTCCCTCCCTGTTCCCCTCCTCATTTGAACACTTTCTTCCCATTTCTCAATATCCAATATACATTTTAGTCTTTATTTCCACTTTCAGTTTCTCACACCAGAGAGAAACAATGTGATATTTAAACATATGTGTCCAATTTATCTCACTTAAGAGTATGATCTCAAAGTGCATCCATTTAGCTAGAAATGTCTCAAGCTTATCCTTCTTTATGGCAGAGTAGTACTCCATTGTATAAAAAAAGACCTACATGTTCTTTATCCATTCATTGGTTGATGGGCATTTGGGCTGTTTCCAAGATTTAGCTATTACAAACTGTGCTGCTACAAACATGGGTGTGCATATATCGCTATGGTATGATGGTTTTAATTCTTTCAGAAAGAGAATAGCTGGGTCAAATGGAAATCTCTGCACTGATTTCCACAGAGGTTGCACCAGTCTGCACTTCTACCAACAGTGGAGAAGGGTTTCTTTTTCCCCACAGCCCTTCCAGTATTTGTTATTGGTTGATTTCTTGGTAACAGCCATTCTTTCTGCAGTGAGATTGAATCTCAGAGTTGTTTTTAATTTGCACCTATCGAATGACCGGTGATGTTGAACATTTTTTTCATATATTTATTTGCTGTTTTTACTTCTTCATCTGAGAAATGTCTATTCATTTCAGATGCCCAGTTTTGGATTGAGTCTTTAAATTTGAGGGATCTGATTTTTTGAGTTCTTTATATATTCTCTGTCCTTTGTCTGAGGAAGAGCTAGTAAAATTTTTTCTCTGTGGGTTATCTCTTCACTTTGTTGGTGGTTTCTCTTGCTGTGCAAAAGCTTTTTAATAAGATGAGATCCCAGTTGTTGATTCTTTGTGATAGTTCCTGTGCAATTGAGGTTTTGTTCATAAAGTCCTTGCCTATGCCAATGTCTTTGAGAGTCCTATCTATTCTATTTGCCAGCAGATTTAGTGTTAATTTCTGCCCTGATCTGTATAATTTCCTTCCTTATAGTAGCTTTGGGCTTGAGTCACTCTTCTTTTTCTAGAAGCTTGAGGTTCAATATTAGGTTGTTTATTTGATCTTGCTCTGTTTTTCTGTTATGGGAAATTGCTACTATAAATTTCTCTTGTAGGACTGCTTTCATTGAGTTCAAAAGTTCTGGCATGGTGCATTGGCATTATTGTTTAATTGTAGAAACTGTCTAATTTCTTCTTCATTTTCATCTGTGACCTCTTGGTTGTTCAGAAGGATGTTATTTAATTTCCAGGTATTTATGAAGTTCTTGTGGTTTCTTTTGCCATTGTTTTCCAGTTTCATTGCACTATGGCCTGATAATGTGCATGGGATAATTTCAGTTTCTTTGCATTTACTTAAGCATGTGAGCTAGTATGTGATCTATTTTGGAGAATGACCAATGTGCAGCTGAGGAGAATGTGTACTCTGATGTTGTGGGGTGGAGCAATCTGTAGACATCTGCTAAGTCCATTTGTTCAAAATTTTGGTTCAGTTTTCATATTTCTTTGTTGATTTTTTTTTTTTGGTCTTGTTGATCTATTTGTGACAGTGGGGTATTGAGGTCCGCCATTACAATTGTATTAGTGCTTATTTGATTTTTCATGTCTGTTATATATTTTATATAGTTGTATTCACTGGTATTTGGTGCATATATATTTATGATTGTTATCTCTTCCTCTTGGATCATTCTTTTTGCAAGAATGTAATGACCTTCTTTGTCTCTCTCTCTCTTTTTTTTTTTTTTGGTGCGGGGATCAAACTAGGGACCTTGTGCTTGCAAGGCAGGTGCCGGAACGGAACCACTGAGCTAAATTCCTGGCCCCTTCTTTGTCTCTCTTAAGCAGCCATGGCTTTAAATCCATTTTGTCTGCAAATACAACAGCTACCCCTGCTTTTTTCTGAGTTCCTTTCACAGGGAGTATTGTTTTCCATCCTTTGACTTTCAGACTATGAATTTCTTTTTGAATTAAATGTATTTTCTTATGTGCAGCATATTGTTGGATCTTTCTTCTTGATCTATTCTGCCAGTCTGTTTCTTTTGATTGGTGAGTTGAGACTATTAACATTGATGGTTGTAACTGATATACATTGACTGATCATTGTCATGTTATTTTCCTGTTGTTGGCTTCCTTTTTCCTCACCGTTTAATTGTTTGCCCTGCCTGGTGGATTCATTCTGTTGGGGTTCATTGAGTTGTAGTCCTTGTTATCTCTTTCTAGAATTTCCTCAGAACAGTTTGGAGTGCTGGTTTTGTGGTCATGAATTTCTTCAGGTGTTCTTTGACACAGGTGTTCTTATTTCTCCATCAATTTTGAAAGATAGTTTTGCAGGGCACCTCAATTTGGGTTGGAGATTGTTTTCCATTAGGGCTTGAAATACTTTAAGCTCTCCTTGACTTGAGGGTTTGTGTTAAGAAGTCCACTGTGATTCTGAGGGGCTTTCCTTTGTAGGTGATGTGTTTCTTTTCTCTACTAGCTTTTAATATTCTATTCTTGTGCTGAATTTCTGGAATCTTGACTATTATATGCCTTGATGTAGATTTCTTTTTGATCATGGCTAAATGGAGTTCTATATGACTCACTTATCTGTATGTCAGATTCTTTTCCCTGCCTGGGAAGTTTTCTGCCATTACTTCTATGAACAGGTTCATATCAAACTTACATTACTTTTCTTTTCATCATCTAGCAGTTGTTGGATTAATTTTTTTTGTGATCCCTTGCTATTTTTATGAAATCTTTCTTTTCATGATTGCTAATCACAGTCCTATCTTCTGTATCTGATATTCTGATCTTGCATTGGCTCATTCTGCTGCCTATACTTGCAGTGCAATTTTTAATCTCCTGAATATGTTTGAATATGTTTGGTGGAATCCATTTCTTTCCTATGTTGAGCACTCATGGTTTCGATCATTTTCCTAAGCTCCTCTGTTTTTTTATCTGTATCTGCTCTAGAGTCACTAACCTGGTCTTTCTCTCTTTACCATCTCTGTAGTTATCTGAGAAACTTTGTGATTTGATTTTTTTCTAGAGCCTCATTCATCTGCTTTGTTACCTCCCCTGTTACCACTTCAAAAAGTCCAGGTGGGTAAGTTTTGAATTGTTCCACCTCATTGCTGCCTGGATATGCCTTTGATGAGCTGGAAGTTTGGAGTTG